TTTTCGTGCTGGTACTGACGACTTTGATCTTGGTAATACGGTTCATGAGCGATCTCATGATTGATGCATAACAACTACACCTATTATCGCTGTATACGATGATGCAAAACTATTCTGATTTGAGGGGATAATTCTGATGAAGAACAAGTATAAGAGATTGGCCCTGATGGTAATGAGGTAGACCTCTTCAATGAAGAACTAGAAGACTTTGACATGTCGGTGGGAGTGGATGATGATGACATTCCATATGTTTCCACTCATATTTCTTATTACCAGCCATCACCTCACTTCACAACGATTGATATGAAAGCTTTCAACACTCTAAAATTTTTGTAATTCCTACATATTAATCAATACAACCAACATGGTAATGGTGAGCTCTACATTGGAATGATATTCATGATAAAAGAACTCATTGTGGCTATCATTAAGAACTGTAATATACATCGCTCATTTACGTTGACTTTAAAAAAATAGACATAGACAAGTACCTCGTAAAATATGCCCAAAAGAACCAATAATGTAACTGGAGGGTTCGTGTATCACGCTTGAAGACGATGAACAACCTGTTGAAGCGGAAAAAATACGCCCAACCTCATATATGCACCATCAACAACCTCAGTTAGGATCATCATAACTTAGATGTGTACGTGCTTTGGGATGTTCATTTCACTAGTCAAAGCAAATCCAGGTATAACAGTTGGTGCTTATATTACTACAATTACATCATAATACTTCTACATAATTGACTACCATAAAACATGATATGCAAGGTCTCGAGCTCAACAAAAATTGTATGACCAACGAGAAGAATCATACAAATAGTTACGGCCATTGCTAAAATAATCGTGTCATACAAGGTATGTTCCAATTATACTTGCTATTTTAGATATTTATGCAGTGTGTTAATGCATTTCGCCATTGCAAGCTAATGGTTCAAATCAATGACACTTGGTTATACGACAGATACACACAAACACTGTTATTGGATATTACACAATGCGACAATATGAAAACTATTCACATCGCCTTCGCAATAGTCGAAAAGGAAGATATACTCTTGGGAATTCTTTCTTAAGAGCTTACGAAGACATGTTCTATCACATGTTTTGTTTGATAGATATGATGTGATATGTCTTATTTTTGAAAGAAGCACAGGGATCAAATACGTAATCCAGTGTATGGGCCAGTCTTGGCAGCCACCCTATATTTATCATCGGTATTGTATATGCCACATTGATGCAAATTAGTTGCAAAAGTTTAAGACTAAAGATGAACGATTAATGATGCATCGAATGGGTACATCTTTCACTTTTTTAGGTTTAAATCTTTTCATTTATTATTTCTAATTAACTATTATGTTTTTAATGGATATGCCACACATATTTCGTATGTGAGGCTGAGAAGATGCTTCAATAATTGAAAGATAGTCCACCTAAACCTCATTGAAAAATTCCTAACATTTTGTGCAACATTCAAATACAATGAATGCGACATGTGTCTCTCGCGAACAAAATAATTTTCGTGTTTCAGAATATTTGAGGCCATTGGGAGGCATATCACACAACGCATACATGGTTAATCTACAAGAAATAACCTACGACTATGGAGTATTCCAAACATTCAAATAGCCATGTATGCACGTCATTGCTGCTCATTATTCTATACAGATTCTTTAAATGGCATTCATTGATCCAATATAATTACTTGAAACCATATTCAAGGTTTATCAATATGAATTTCCTCCCATTATAAATGAATGAGATTCAGGTGAAGTTGATGATGAACCTATAATATGACTAGATTTTGCACTACGACGCACAAAAAAGGGTCATCCACTATCAACGTGGATTTACTGTGACGAGGTTTGGTTGAACATCGAGAAAGAATTGGATAATCGAAACTATGTACTATTTGTATGAACCCCAGACACATGAAAAAAATGTCTTAATCGATCATGCCCTTGTATCGATTAATTGTGCTTTTTCATTGAACTACTTTTGTAATTAAAAAAATACATTCGGTAGTTTTCAATTTCTTTTTGTTTCGAACCATTTTCAACACAATTTTTACACCGTTTATAATGTCTCGTATGTGGGGATACTAGCATCAATTGAAAAATAAGTACAAATACTACACCTTTAATATTATAAATTACGAAAGTTTTCAGATTAAATTCCTAAAAATACTCCTCGAACATGCCTATCAAGCCATTTTAGCTTATTCTTCATGCACAAAACCAAGCTTTCGAACCATTTGTAATACAATTTTTACACTGCTTACAATGTCTCATATATGTCGATATTACCCTCAGTTGAAAGATAAGTTATAATACTATGCCTCTAATATTATAAATTACGAAAATTTTCATATTAACTACTTGAAAAATACCCATCGAATATGTCTATCAAACCATTTTAGCTTTTTCTTCATGCACAAAACAAGCTTTGGAACCTTTTTCAACGCGATTTTTGTTCGTTTACAATATCTCGTATGTGTCGATGTTGACATCAACTGAAAGATAAATCCCAATATTACGCCTCTAATCTTATAAATTACAAAAAACTTTATATTAACTACCTGAAAATACCCCTAAAATATGCCTATAAACACTTGCAAAGTGGGCTAAAAATGCATAAATATTGCGTTCTGTAGGACGTGAGGTTCAAAAATACAACCTACGATAAATTGCTCAGACAATTCAATTTCCAGTGCAAAACGCGATGTCATTTATCCAAATATTAAAATGTGTTATATGAAAAGTTATTCCATGTCGAAAGGGTCTCGCGCTCTATAAAACACGAGGTCATTTTACGCGTTTCGCATGACGTGAGGTTGTCTTATGTGAACAGTTTGGGGGTATTTTTCCAAATAATTCCTGGTGGGGTCATTTTCCTAATAAAATGAATTTTGAGTTTTTAATAAAAATTCCTAAAGAAGAACCATCATTTAATAATTCATATTGATTAATAATGAAAAGAGAAATAAGAGAAGTTGAAACGGTAAGAATAAAATAGATGAGAATGAGTTTAGAGGGAAACCAAATGACAAGTCAAATAACCAGCATGTCATGTCAGCAGTTAAGACACTACGTCAGTTTTCTGTCACCCACAACAATGGCTATTAATGGTGAGTGACCGATTTGTTACAAATCGATGACATTAGTGACTAATTTGTTACTTTTAAAATTTCACTAGGATAAATAAAAATTTACTAAAACATTAGTGACTAAGGGTGAGCATTCGATCGAGTCGAGTCAAAAAATTTTGAGTTATTCGAGTTGACGAGTCATATTTTACAACTCGAACTTAACTTGAAATTTTTTCGAACTGAGTTATTCGAGTTTATGTACTAATTTTATTATAATTATTTATAGTATTATGACAATAATTTATTCCAATTTTTTTGACTTGATCTAACCATAATATAAATATGTATATCATATTATATTGTTATTTAATATATCAAATACAATATAACATTATAAAATATCATAATATTATATTCATATTATATTCGAGTTTTCCTCCCCTATTATGACCATTTATGTAATTTATCCTTACCAATAAAATTGGCTCTTCGTTTAAAACAGTACCGTGGATTCCGCACGAAGTCGAGCCCAAGTAAAAAGGTCAAAAGGGAAAATAAATACTCTTGAGTCTGATCAGTACCGTCGGATCAAAACTATAATTAAACCTGTAGGGCCACTTTCATTGAAGTTATTTATTAATTTCTCCAAAACTCATCCCGTGAAGCCTGGTCACGTGGCTTTTGTCCTCTGTTCCACAATCGCAGATCTTTGTACGTGGAGACAGCAACTGAAAACATATCACTGTATTTATTTTTTTAAAAATATATAATCATTTATATATAATATTTATTAATTAATTAATTCGAATCGAATATTACAGAGATAATTATGATATTCTCAATCAAATTTATGTCATTTGTATTCATTAAGATTTAAAATTTTAATCTTATTTAAAAAAATTAGTATTTCATTCTATTAAACTAATTAATTGTTAATTTTATTCTTTTATGGAGTATGTAAAAAAGTTAAAATTATTAAATTTACTTTAAATAATTAATTACTGTATCTTTGTTAAAGATTCCATTTCACTGAAAAATATTTAATTCGACTTTGCTTAGCGCCTGAGTTATGCCAACTGCCTCCTACGTCAGCACCACTCATATAAAGTCGAGCCCCACTTATTAAACCTCTACCGCTCATCAATATCCGATTGTGACGGAAAATTTTGCTATTGACCGTGTAGAGCCGTCGGATTAAAAGTGTCCATCACAGTTAATGAAGCTAACCTGTACCTGTATCACCTCGTCTCCTTCACGAGTCGACTTGACAAAGAAAACAATAAGGGTAATCTACACAAATAGTCTTCGACTATAGGATACTGATCTTTTAAGTCCTCAACTATTAACAATTATAAAATAATCCTTGAGATTTTTGTTGAGTTACCTGATTATTAAAAGTTAAAAAATGATTACCAATTATTAAAAGTTATAAAATGATCACCGACTATTTATTTATTCCAAGCTCACCCTTTTTAGTTAAGAAATGACGATCGTTTGAGTTGGTCTTTAACATGTTGACTATGATATGATAAATCTGATCCCAAAATTACTTGAACTATATTTTATAGATTGAATCTCAGTTTATATTATGCTTTGAGTTAGTGTTTAAAATATTATGTTATCGAGTTAGTGATTGAAAGTAACGACAGTACCAATGGACATCATTAAAATACTATTTTTATCATATCCTAATCAGAAGATTAACGTCTAACTCAGACAATCATCAATTTTTAACGAAAAAAGATAAGTTTGAAATACATGAATAATTAGGTGACTATTTCATAATTTCTAATAGTTGGTGGACTCAAAAAAATAATATTTTATAATCAGGAGTCCATTTGGTGTATTTTACCCAAGAAAAAGTTATAAAATCCTTGACTGTTATTTTTCGATGCAGGCAGCATCTCTCACTCACTCGATCAGTCGTTCACTAAAAAGGAGAAAAAAGAAAGATAAGAGAGAATGTGAAAATGAACCAATAGCGTAATAAGTGAAAAGCAAAGCAAGGAAGAAGATATTTGAGAGCTTAAGCTAAGCTAAGATGCTAAGATTGACTCTCTTATGGCTTCCTGTTTTCCTTTTCTTTTTCTCTTCGTCTTCAGCACGGCCTGGTTAGATTCCACTACAACTATGCTATTACTGTTTTAGACTTTTCTTCTTTGGATGTTTCTGGTTGCTTCGAGATTCGGTTAGGTTTTTTTTTAAGTGGTAGATTAGTTGCAGTTTGATTGAGCTTGTTAGAAACCAGTCTTAAGTATAATAATTCAGTTTATGGTTCGTTTCCTTCTTTGATGGTTTGTTCCTTTGCCTTATTTCTGAATTGTGATTTATGTTTCATGCTCATGTTAATGAGTTGTGAGGATTAGTCAAAACTAACGGAGTGAATGTGCCTTTTTTTTTTTGAAATTTTAAGTTAACTGTGTCTAGGTCAAAGAATCTAGGTGTTTGGTTGGCTTCGATCCTGTTTGGATGTGAGGAAATGTAGGAAAATGATCGAAAGTTTTTTTTTTTTAATTTTTGTGGTATGCCATGCGACTTGAAGTGAATAAAGAATTTAAGCAACACATTAATTTATTAAGCAAAGAAAGATAGCGATTCTTTCAAGGCCTAACGGGGAAAGGTGTGAATAATCTATGGATTGGTTATCGATTTTGTAAGCATATGTGGTCATCTGCTCCATGTCACTTCCATTCATTTTTGTTTATAGAATGTTAAGTTGGTAAAATGAAAGCACAAGGCAATGGAACTTTGTCTTGTCAAATAAGAAAACAAGAAAGACTAAGGTGGAAATTGTAAGCGGTCTACCCTATTGTATATGCTTAATGCATTGCCTATTTGTTAGGTTTTGGTATCATTTTTTTTCTTGTAATTATTTTTTTTTTCATTTAATTATGTAACAGTTTTTTCCTATTTGGTTAGTTTTTGGTACTAAACCTGGTCAATTTTTTTTTCTCACTATAGCACCTTATGCTATGCGCATAAGCTGTGGAGCTCGTATAAATGTCCGAACCCCACCAACCTATACACGTTGGTATAAAGATTTTGCATATACCGGGGGAATTCCAGCTAATGCAACGCAACCAAGTTTCATCACTCCTCATCTAAAAACACTTAGGTATTTCCCTCTATCTGAAGGTCCAGAAAATTGCTATATAATTAATAGAGTACCAAAGGGGCACTATTCTGTGAGGATCTTCTTTGGGTTAGTTGAACATGACATTGACAACGAGCCTCTATTTGAAGTATCTGTTGAAGGCACCATAATTCATTCACTGAAATCAGGTTGGACCAGCCATGATGAACAGGTGTTTGCTGAAGCCCTTGTGTTTCTCTTGGATAATACAGTATCTATTTGCTTTCACAGTACTGGTCATGGAGACCCATCAATTATTTCTATTGAAATTCTTCAAATTGATGATAAAGCATACTATTATGGACCAGAATGGGGTAAAGGTATAATCCTGAAAACAACTTCAAGAGTGACTTGTGGCACAGCAAAGCCAAAATTTGATGAAGATTATAGTGGGGATCACTGGGGTGGAGATAGATTTTGGCACCCCATCAGAACTTTTGGAAAAAATGCTGATGAACCGCGATCTACTGAAGGTAGCATTAAACAAGCTTCAGTTGCACCAAACTTCTATCCAGAAGCTCTTTACCAAAGTGCAATTGTTAGTACCAATAGTCAGCCTGATTTAACTTATACAATGGATGTGGATCCCAATAAGAACTACTCTATATGGTTACACTTCGCGGAGATTGATGCTTCCATCACCGGTGCAGGGCAAAGGGTGTTTGATGTCCTGATAAATGGTGAAACTGAATTTGAAAATATAGATGTTGTGGACATGAGTGGTGATCGCTATACTGCACTTGTACTTAACAAAACAGTTGCTCTTAGTGGGAGGACTCTGACAATAACTCTTCACCCTAAAAAGGGTCATGTCATCCTTAATGCGATTGAAGTCTTTCAAATTATAGTTGCTGAGTCCAAAACTTCAGCAGAAGAAGGTATTATGTTATGCTATTACTTATTAGTTTTGCTTCTATGACTTCTGCTGTCTGTTTATGCTGTGTATGGGAGGACCCATGGGAATTGTTTTTTACTGCCTATGAACAGGATTTTTTCTTGTAGACAGTAGATATTTGCTAACTTGTTAAAAATTCCTGGTTCTAGTTAGGGCGTTACAGGCATTGAAGAAAGCACTGGGGCTTCCTAATCGTTTTGGGTGGAATGGAGACCCATGTGTTCCTACCGAGCATCCATGGAGTGGAGCTGATTGTCATTTTGATAAATCTGGCAGAAAGTGGTTCATTGATGGCCTGTACTTCCTTGATCTTTTTGTCTTATATTTGAGTTTTGCTTTTTCTACCCTACTATTATCATCTCTTTAGTTCAATTTTATTGTGTTGATTTCATGATTTATGTAGTGGAAACTGATATCTATGCTGGTATGCTATGGCCTCCTTTACATATTTTGTTTTAGTAAAGCAATGTTAAAAGGAGAATTCTAACATAGATGATTCGTATTACTGGTGAACTTCTTCCACTTTAAGGGAGCTTTAAGTCATAGATTGTTTTGGTATTCTCATTATCCCGTAGTACATTTTACACTTTCAAGTTGTAGCCAATATCATTCTGCTTTGTTTGTCATATTAGAAGTACGAAGTCAATGTCTGCATTTTACAAGCCTGGAGACATACACTCCCAACAGCCTGTTAGAATTCTCAACCACTTGTTTACTCCAATTTGCTATTGAGTGAATCTTATCTGTTAAGAATTCTTTTAGTTTCCTGAAAGATTGTCGTATGTACTCCAATTTACTAGTTAATGAATCTTGTCCACTTCATTTGTATTCGTTACCAGCATTGCCTTAAGGATATGAGAAGCAAGTAAAAGTCAAATCTGCTTCTATTCATATGCTTTCTCTACTTTACTCTTTCGATTTGAGTTTCCCTAATAGGCCCAAATTTCTGCACTTCATTCATTCACACATCACCTGTTACTCCTAACTCCTAAGATTCTAATTATTCCAGAGGCATGAAAAACTAGATGCATGTTAGTTTTCAGAAAGAAACCACGTAACTTTTCCTTGCCCTGGTGCTGTGGTGCACAAGTTTAAATATAGCAAGCGTTTCCTAGAATATAAATGCATATTTATAAACCTAGAGTGTACATGTTTTTAAATTCCTAATTTCAACCTTATGATGAGATTCCTACAAAGCTTAAGATAAAGTGCCTTCATCAGTTATATTGGTAATGTAATAAGTAATTGCCTTTTGTTTCTGCATGATCAGTGGTCTTGACAATCAAGGTCTAAGGGGTTTTTTGCCTAATGAAATATCCAAACTACATCACCTGAAGAGCTTGTAAGTGCAAATTGTTTCTCCATCACTTCCATTATAGTTGCTTCTATTTGGTTTATAGGGCATGAATCATTTATCCAAGGACAGGTTTCTGTTCCGGACTCATCAGCTTGTTATATTGCATGATAATATAGTGCCATTGACATAAAAGATAGAGCCTATTTTTCTTTATTTGCTTTCACAAACTATTGCAATAGTTGTACTTATTTAATTTTACACAAGATGACTTCCCCGTAATCATTTCTCATCTTTATGGTGTATTTGGCTTCTACAGAAACTTGAGTGGAAACACAATTCATGGAGCCATTCCATCTTCACTTGGAACAGTCATTAGCTTAGAAATATTGTAAGCACGGCATAATTTCTTGTCCTTGAAGATACTTGCGATTGTATAACTTCTACATTCAAAGTTTTATGAAATAATATTCTTTTTATACAGTTAGGAACCTCACCATCATATTCTTTTTACACGTCCATTTGTCTGTTATAGGTTTTTTTAAAGTGTTTGTTCCCTTTCATTTTTAAAGATGAACACATTATAGTGTTGGGATGACATTCTGCAAGGAAACAAAAGTTTTTTCTATCAGAAATGTCACTTCCCAAATGTTTCTGTGCTATTGATTGAAAGACCATGCATCCATCGAGTTGCATTCTTGTTTCAAAAGCCATCATGCTTGGAAGGACATTAAATTCTGGATGCATAATATTTTCTTTCTTCTCTCAAAGGGATAATTTGAGTTTGTAGTCTAATATATGGATTATGAAAAAGCCCATGATCTTTCAGTTAATTTATATATTTTCTTAAACAATATCCATCTTATTGATATAAATGTATCGATATATACTGCAGGGATCTCTCCTACAATTTCCTTAACAGATCAATTCCTGAAAGCCTAGGAAAGTTGACTGCATTGCGTAGATTGTAAGTTTTTGACCTGTTGACTAACTCTGGAAATATACAGCAAGATTTTGATTTAAGTTCTCATTTTCAGGAATCTTAATGGTAACTCTCTGTCTGGAAGGGTTCCAACTGCACTCGGAGGAAGGCTTTTGAATGGTGCTAGCTTCAAGTATGTTTCAACTTCTAAGAATCTCATTAGTATGGTCTGGAAGTTCTATCTATGAGGAATGAACTTGCCAGATGATAATGATAACGAAAGAAATGCAAATACAAGATTAAAATGAAAACATGCTGTTTCACACAGCACGTCTATTAATGCAAGTTCTATATCATATACTTACTATAATTACATGCAGTTTTACTGATAATCCTGGTCTTTGCGGCATACCTGGACTACCTAAATGTGGACCCCACCTCTCTGTTGGTGCTAAGATTGGCATTGCCTTTGGCATATTTATGTCTCTCTTACTTCTTGTTCTCTGTTCATGGTGTTGGTGGAAACGGCGGCAGAATATCCTTCGAACACAACAAATTGCAGGTTAGTACTTCAGGATAAATCTCATGACGAAGTTTTTTTGGCGAATAACAGTTTTGAATGTTAAAATTGTTTGGTTTTAATCCTTTGGGACTGGTATAAACATGAGACACCCATCCTATGGTAGTTGATTAAAATCTACAAAGTTGCTCACTTTAACCCAAAAAATATAGGATGACAGTAACATTTAATCAAACTTTCCACTAGCAACATTTAAATCCAGGTCGATAAACAATACGTTGTTCAATTGAAGAATTATCACGTGAGGTTTATTCTTGACTATGACAAGAATAAGTTGGAACCCAGTTAGAGATTTTGGAATCCCTGTTTGACAGATCGGAATGTAGTCTCGCTGATAAATCTGATTTCGGTGAGGAAGAAAACCCTTTCATGATGCTGGGTGGATTGTAGGAACCATTGGTGCATGCCCTTGAATTAAACGTGGAAAGTGAAAATGATATATTACGTATATGCTGTTCAAGGAGAGTCCCTGATTGTTCTTAATGTGTTGATAACATCTGAGGGTGAAGACGAGTTCAGTGTTGTGTTAGATGCACTCAGCCGACAATCTTCCTAACAAAGGAATTAGAAGTTGAACACTAGAAAACTAAGATTATAAAGACCTCTAATTTATTTCTATTAGCTTGAGAAAATAATAATAATATTGGCAGTAAAGCTTGCAACTTATTTGTAACAGACTTTTCTTGCAAGTAAAGGTCTATGCAATTAATGTTTTATTCTAGCCATAGATTTTGACCCAGTAAACTAGTAACCCTAAGCTTAGATTTAAACATTGATTGGGATATATGTCATAAATCATAATATTAAAAATCCATTTGTTGTTTTTCGTCTGTCTGCATAATTATATTTCATTCTCTTCAGCTGCAAGAAGTGCTCCCTATGCAAAATCAAGGACCCAATCATCGCATGATATTCAGATGTCGAGGTGTCCTAGTCGTGGGCGGACAGCGGCTGAGAATGGACCAAGCTTGCTGTCTTGATCGATCAGTTTCCCATCTTTTCGTCATGGAAAATGAATTGCAGAACTACTGTGTTGATCTTAGCTCATGTTGCTCTGCATGATCTCCCTTTCCTGGGGAAATCTTGACCGGTGAACCAGTAAAATCCGATAGAATCACATCCATAAGGTAAGATAACCTCGAAGAATGACACAAATACAGGAAAAATGAATTGTATTGTACATTAATTGTTTGAACCCTTTTCCAATCAGTTTTGTTAAAAAGAGATATTGTAACTAGTTGAAGAAGCATCTAAGAAGTACGTGCAAAGTCATTATTGTTTCCACCAATCTTCTTTGTGGTGAATCCAGAAAGGAAAACTGATGTCTACTGCCTTCTCATCCTCGTTATATGACGGTTTTACTTTTTATTTTCTTTTAAAAATATATCACGATATAAAAAATATGAGTCCTCATTGATTATTTATAATTATATATGATCCAATATTTAACAGTTACTTTTTTATAATTTTTTTTAAAAACCTTCTTTTCTAGAAAAGATATTTATTCCATTTTATTTTTACCACATATTTAAACTTGGTAACTAATTACGAGTTATTTTAATAGAAAAAATTGTGAATTTATAATTACTTTAATTATAAAATGTATAATATATATTATTTAACAGATTTAATATTTTCAAAATTGTTAATATCATCATTCATTTATGTTGGGATTATGAAGAGGCTCAAATAGACAACTGAAAGAATACAAAGGGGTTTAATTGACAATATTTTGATAAGGGAGTAAGGAGAGCAAAAGGATACAGAAATAACGCACAATGATTTAAAGTGGTTCGACTTATCAAACAAGTCTACATCTACTACCTTAGCTCCTCACTAAGGATTTGTTCTTTCTTTTTCAATGATAAAGAGATAACATTTACACTCCCTATTTTTTTCTCTTGGCTAAGATAGAACCAAAACACTTTATAAAGTATAAAAAAGAAGTAAACAAAATAAACCTCTACAAGGTAGGGTGTTTACAAATTGAAAGCTCACAAGAACAAAAATATTTACAAGATAATTGAAATAAAGAGTGAAAAGTTCTTCTTTTGTGTTTGATTGCTTGGATATATGTTCTAACCCTTTTTCAAGTATCTTCAACTTGTATTTATGTGTTGAAATGTTGTTGTGGCCGTTTCTAGCCGTTGGAGGTGGTTTGGAGCTATTGGGGATCAATTTTTGTGCAAAATAAAGTTACCCAGACCAAGGGGTATCGGTACTCCTAAAGGGAGTATCGGTACTACCTTTGTTAATATTTAAATTAACTAGCCGTTTATAGTCGTTGGGACCTTATGGTATCGATACTATGCTTATGGTATCGATACTACTATACAAAGTAGTATTGGTACCTCTTTGGGTATCGGTACCATTTTTACATTATGGAATTTGAGAAATGCTGGTAGTATCGGTACTACCTAGTGAATATCGATACTTCCCTTACCTTTGGTATTGATATCATATGAACAGTATCGGTACTTGCTCAATTGGTATCGATACTGTAAGAACAATATTGTTACTACTTGTTCAGAAAACGTTTTGTGCTCAATTCCAAGTTTTAAGGACTTTGAATTATTTTTGAAAACTTTGAAAAACTTTGAATAAATTCAATTCAAGTCCAAAAATATTTTTCCTTAAATTGTTATATCAAAATATAGTTAAAAACTCTCCCCCTTTTTAATATAACAAAACATTTAAAAAATTGTTTTTGGCAAAACTTCTCCTTACTAAAATGTTTAATGAAAAAGATATCAATTGTTGGAAAATATGCGAAAATGTTCAGCTCCCCCTTTTCATTAAGAAATTGAATTTTTCAAACCCATACTTATCCCCCTTTTTGTTAAATAAAAAAGAATTCAACTTTAAAGTTCAAACATAACTTTGGAGAGTAAGTGGTAAATTTGACATTAAAAGCATTTGAAAAATCAAAACTCCCCCTCAAAACGTGCATTCCAAACAAAATTAGCTTTAAAATCTTGATACTTAAACAAAATTGAAATTCAACAAAGAGTAAAAAGAAATATTAGTAACACATGAAATTCAATATATATCCAAGTCTAAAATACTTTATGCAATATCAATTATTGAAAATAAGTATATATGCATAAAGTTTTCAAAAATGTCATGCATTTGAAGAATTTGATATCAATTGTTAGAGAGATATCTTTAACATTTAAAACACAAGCATAAATATTTAAATGTAGGTCAAAAATTTAAAGTTTGTAAAATCAAAGCATTTGAAAAGTTGATATCAATTGTTAGAGAGATATCATTTGCATTGAAAATAAATTTTGACCAAAATTGACTATGATGAACTAAAATTTATGAAAAATCATTAAAACTTTAAAATGTCCATCATAAAACTTTTTCAACATACATGAGATGGAAAACATCAAATCATTTAAAATAAAAAACTCATGCATGATTAACTCAAAATGAGCAACCAAATAACCAAAATAAAAAACATTAAGCTTAGAGGTTACCCATTCATTTTTAAGTCTGGCCAGAGTATCTCAATTCCTTCATCTTCATCACCATTGCTCCCACACACCTACAAGAGACATTTATTTGGATTTTGGTATCCAAATTGCTTTGGATCCTTGGATGTTAGTTTTAATGCCCCTTGTTCCCTTAGGAACCCATACTTGTCTAATTTTAAAAGATTTTATTTTCTTTATTGGACAAGTATGTTCCAAATGACCATAAAAATTATTTTTCTCAAGCTTAACTTTTAAATCAAAATTTTCTTTTTCTAAATCACTGATTTTGACTTTTGAAAGCTTTAAACCATTTTTCAAAATTTTATTTTGATTTTCAAAATCAACTTTTGCTTTCAAAACCAAATAATTTTCAATTTTGAGTTTTGAGATTAATTTCTTATATTTGGAATTCATGGTCTCAAATTCCAAATACAACTCATTATAAGTATCTTGTAACTCATCAAAAGAATGTGAATTTAAATCATTATAGTTATAAGATACCATTGAATCTCTTTCGATGGCCATGAGGCATAAGTTGGCTACTTCTTCATCATCATTGGAGTCATCTTCATCACTCCAACCTGCCACAAATGCCTTCTTCTTAGATGACCCTTTTTTCTTTAGGAGGGGACATTCATACTTGACATGCCCTGTAACATCCCAAACTACGGGTTAGTGACTAAATTGTAAAACTTCAGAATGTGGTGATTAAAGTAGGATATTTGAATAGTTCAATGATTTATTCGAAAGTATTTCCTGAAAATTATTAATAATTATCAAAGGAATTAAAGGGTAAAATGGTCATTTAATATGAAAGATTTTTATTTCCTTACAATATAAGGAAACCACGTGTAAGGGATGGAAACAAAGCCAGAGTCATCTTCTTCTTCTTTGTTCTTCCATACGAGAGAGCCACAACAAAGGTGAGTTTTCTATTTTGTTGATTATTTGTTGAATTAAAGGCTGAGTTTTGATCATTAGATGATAACTAAGCTTAAGGAAAGCTTAAGTTGTCTTATAATCAAAAGATGAAGAAGTTATAAGAGATTAAAGAAAATGGGTTTTTATATGAAATTATGGAAAAGAGTTGATAAGTTGAATTTGAAGTTAAATTTGACTTATCATCAACCTAATTAAAGAATATGAAGTATTAGAATTTGATTTAGAACATATTGAAATTTGAGTATGATTTTTGAATTCTAGGAAGAGAGGTGGATTTTAAAGTTAAGGATGTATTGAATGAGTATTAATGAGTTTAAGTATGAGTAGATGAGTAAAGTATATGTAAAGGAGTGAAATAGGAAGTGTTTGAGCAGAAATGAGGTGATTTGCGTGCTCAAAATATAATTTCTGGTCATAGGGTATCGATACCATATGAAGGGGTATTGATACCTCCTCTTGAATGAAAAATTACAAAATGTCAGTATGGTATCGATACCATAAAGGGGGGTATCGATGCCCCCCTGAAGATGAAAATTTCCAGAATGTAGGTAGGGTATCTATACCATAGGCAGGGTATCAATATCTCAGTTAGGGATGTATCGATACCTACTTTATACAAGAAATGAGATTGGTCTTTCCTTTAGTGTAAAAATTGGAAGATTAAAGTATACAATTGGATTATTGATATGTATAAATGTATTACTATGTAGATATAGAACGTAATTTCGTTCCGAAACAAACGAAAGATTAGGATCGAGTAAAGCAAGCAAGGCTAAGGTGAGTGCATTTTATAGTTAAAGTGTATAGAGATAAGACTTGTGATAAGTCTATCTCTGATAGTTGAATTCATGTTTCCATTTTCATGTACATTTATATATATATTATTGTTATAGTGATTTCATGCATAATTCATTATGCTTTAATATGATATTAAGTGAACGAATGCCATTACCAGAGAAACAATCCAGGTATGTGAATAATGGAAATGATTATATGTGTTACATGAAAAGTGATGAAAAGATATGAAATTAGAAATGTATTCATATTTAAGCCCATGTTATATGATATGAGAGCTATAGGTATAGTTGGCATGCCAAAAGTCGAGGGTTTATAGTGGTCATTTGGGACATATCCAGTGGTCCTTCGGGATGTATCCAGTGGTACTTCGGGACGTAGTGGTCCTTCAGGACAAATATTTACTGCCCCTAGTTGGAATTTATCGAGCTGTGGTGACAGCATTAGTGCACAACCTCAATGTACTCACGTACCTCTGTTCTCAATAATATACATGGGCAATTGAAAGATAAATTAAAGTGAAAGTGACACAAGAAGGTAAGTTTCATATGTGCATGACATGATTATATATGTCATAGTGAAATATATACATGCATATTGAAATGTCATGATCAAATGGTAAGAATGCATATTCATGAATCTATTGTTACATGTTTATATATTGCCTCACTAAGTCTATGACTTAGCGTGTAAGTGATTTACACGTAGGTACCAAGAAACAAGAAGAGCAGTAATAGAAGTGGAAATGACAACATCACTACTAAAAGATCATATCAAAAGTAATTGACAAAGTAGGTATTTTGGTTGTGTATATAGTGTTGGCATGTAAAAAGTTGTTAATTAAAAATGCTCTGATCGATTTTGTATTTTGTGATATCATTTATGTAAATTAACGTATTTTGTTTTAATGAAAGTTTAAAATTTCCCTGTTTTTCTTTAAGTGTCAAAGTTTGAAAAGTCAATGTGATACCTCAGACTCATATTCGGGTCGGATACAGGTTAGGGGCGTTACATGCCCCTTTCTTTAACAATTGAAGCACAATGAAGGACCCTTATTCTTGGTTGA